ACACACACACACGCATACACACACACACACACACACACACATATATAAATTACAGCCATTTTTACACAGTCCCCCACATTTTCAGAGGCTCAAAAGTAATTGGACAAACAAACATAATTGTGAATATAATCATTATTTTTAATACTTTAATGCAGTCAATGATTGCCTGAAGTCTGGCACCCATAGACATCATCAAAAACAGTGAGTGTTTTCCCCTGGAGATGCTTTGCCAGGCCTTTTACTGCAGCCTCCTTCAGTTGCTGTTTCTGGGTCTTTCTGCCTTCAGTTTTATTTTCAGTAAATATTCCATTTATTTGCCTTGAGAAGCTCTTGGGTTGTGTTCACATTATCTTTTGGGTCATAATCCATCTGCACTGTGAGGCGCCATCCAATCAGTTTTGTAGTATTATGCTGAATCTGAGCAGATTGTTTAGCCGTAAACACCTCAGAACTCATCCTGCTGCTTCTATCAGCTGTTACATCACCAATAAACACCAGAGACCCAGTTCCATTAGCAGCCATACATGCCCATCCATAGCACTGCCTCCACCATGTTAGACAGATGATGTGGAATGTTTCAGATCATGAGCCGTTCCTTTCCTTCTCCACACTTTTCTCTTCCATCATTCTGGTACAAGTTCATCTTGGTTTCATCCATCCAAAGAATCTTTTTCCCAAACTGCTCAGGTTTTTTCAGATGTTTTCTGGTAAAGGCCTTCCTGTTCTTCAGTGTTACCAGTGGTTTGCAGCTTGTTGTAAACCCTCTGTATTTAGATTCATGACGGCATCTCTTGATTGTACACTTTGCCAATGACGCGCCGACCTCCTCCAGAGTGTTCTTGACTTCAGTAGATGTTATGAAGGGGTTTTCTTCACCAAGGAAAGAATTCTGCGATCATCCACTTTAGATGTCTTCTGGTGTTGGTGAGCTTGCCAGTGCATTCCTTCCTTTTAAAAATGTACCAAACTGTTGATTTGGTCAATCCTAATGTTTCTGCCATCTGTCAGATAGGTCTGTTCAGTGTTTTCAGCCTAATAACGGCCTCCTTCACCTGCATTGACACCTCTTTGGTCCGCATGCTGAGAGTTCCATGGACCAGCTACCAAATGCTAATTTAACATTTTGAATCCTATTGTCTGCATCATCTGACATGAAATAGTGACAGAACCGACCACACCTGGCCATGAAACCGTTTGTCAGACAATTGTCCAATTACTTTTGAGCCTCTGTAAATGTGGGGGACTGTATAAAAATGGACATAGTTCCATAACGGTTCATGTCATATTTTTGTTTTATCCATTTAATTAAAGCTGAAAGTCTCCACTTCAACCACATAGTGACTGCTTCCATTCAAATCCATTGGAGTCGTGTAAAGAGGCAAAATTAGAAAAATTGTGTCACCGTCCAAATACTTACAGCCCTGACTGTATACTACAACTTTCCAACCAGACACCACCAGCCCAACGACCAGCAATTGCCGATATATTCACACATGTAGTGTGTGTGTGTAGCACGGCTCTACAACTGCTCGCCCCTGCCATTGTTCCAGCTGGTAGATCATCTGTTCAAGCAGTGGATTAGATCTTGGTTAGTCTTTCCATCCATCACCAACTCTGGTTTGGTTGAAATGAACCCTTATTTCCCCGCGTTGAAAATATGCTGACTCTACATGCTGTTTTCCCCACCGTCTCTCTCTGCGTGCTGAGCCGTGGCTGAGCAGCTCTCGCTCTTTGGAGGCAGACCATTTAATTAGCTGAATAAAGTGAGCCCAAAAAAGCCAAATGGCAATGTACTCAGCCAGTCGCTGACATATTCCACCAATCCCCCAACCAATATACACACACACACACACACACACACACACACACACATAAACAACTCGCCAAAAGACCCTTTTTCTATTTGTTAACATTTAGCAATGAGAAGTAGAGCCAAGCACAGAGCTCCCAATGCTCATACACTCATACACAAAGTTAACAAGCTGCCTGTCCTTTCCCGCTTTGCTTTGACAGAAGCCATATTCCCTCAATAGCTGAATTTCTTTGTGAAATATGATTAGTGCGGAAAGCAGAGCAAATAAGAGCTGGGGTAGTTTTTGGTGTGTTGCCTTCAGAGAGGCCTTTGCATTGCTTGAGCGGCCTCTCAGCTATTTTAACCCGAGTCAAGGAGAGTTGAACTAGGACGCCTCACTAAGCGGGGCAACAGGGGGATTGAGCAGGCAGATTGTTGTACTGCTGTAGTGGAGTCTCATCTTCTGTGCCTCCTATTTTTCCAACACTATTCTCAGGGGTCCAAGGATGAAATAAAGTAAAAAGAGTAGAGAAATGCCCAGTAGAGTCTGTCTGTAAAGCTTGTCAGTCTGTGTATGGGCTTGAAGCCCATGGAGTGTTATAAATCAGACGCTACAGTATGCCCTCAGCCAAGAGTCTCCCAGTTGAACAGAATCAAACATAGCCTTTCCACAACAATAAGGAGAAAGCAAAGAACGTTTACAATTTTTTGGTTTTTTAATTGTACGTTTGCTCTTTAATAGTTAAAATTAGCATGAGCTCTTAATAGTTCAATTACTTTTGTTATAAATAAATAAAAAATAGAAAAAATGTGACATCCTGACAAACCAGAGGCTGTTCTCAGTGACTGTACTTGCTCTTCCTGGAGCTGCGAGCTGTTGGGCTCAGATTCATTTTTAACTGCTCAGCTAAAACTATTAGATATGCAAGGGAAAGACGTTTTAACTTGTACAGCTGTCACCAAGCGAAGTCGCTGTAACATCAGCCCTAGGTTTCTGAAGAGCCATTGTGAAGCCATTGTGAAGGGAGCCGGGTAACGCAGCAGAGCCGACAGCTTGCTGCTAGCAACATGGCACAACTTTTTTTTTTTTTTTTTTCCCCACCAAGCTGTGAACAAGCTTATTTCTGCTGTAAAATTGGGCATTTTAACATTAGGCTCTATGGGGATTGTTTTGCTTTTGGAGCCCGCCTAGAGTGGCCATTTAGGGAACTCCAGTTTTTGGCACACAATTGAGGGTTTTTATACTTACTGGCATGAACCTGCATGTGGCAGGATGAACAGCAGAGCAGAGGACTGGTTCCGTCCTCTCCAATGTGATAGTTGGTGGGCGGAGGCTCAGTGTTGCCTGCACCAACGCTGAAGCACATCTCTGGGACCAGGGGACGCGTCAGGCGGGGAAAGGAGCCATGCTGGGTGTCATTTACAACAAAACTGTCTTTGTGTGGCTGGAACGGCCAGAGGAAAGAAGATAATACCGTTAGCGGATTGTATCCATGTCAGCCTTCACAATGGTGATGAATGGAGAGAGGATGGGGTTATTGTTGTAATTTGTAGTTCTAAGAGTTATCTATACAGTTACGGTCTTCCCATTACTACAGTTACACCTAAACTGCTACTACTCACACTACGGACTTCACAAAGGCCACAAACCTGCTCAACGGAACAACTACTACTTCAAAAATCCCGACCATCATTCCTTCACTGACACATATGTGCTTTAGTTGCAGTGTGTGGCTGTACCTTTGTGTAGGGACAGAAGAGTGAACAGATAGCGCAGTGTGGCTGGAGTGCTGCCACTGCAGCATTGAAGGCCTTCTCTGCCAGGAAGTTGGGCGAGTGATTCTGCCACAGGTGCTCCCGTTTCTTCATGTCACTGTCCAGTGGCATGGGGGACGACAGCTCTGTGGGTAAAAAAATAAATAACAAACACACAAATGATTTGCTGCTTCAAAAGAAGACATCTACAATATGAAGTAAGTGATGCACACTGAAGAGATGTTGGAAGATTCATAATTGGTAATTATTTTTATTTTTGTCTGAAATGCATGTGAAGCATTTTTGGAAAAGCACAAGGATGTTTTTTTTAGAACGGAGCCCTTACCAAGAGACACAAATTCTGTTCTGTTCCAGACAACAACACCACCACTTCAGATATAATTGGCACAGGCATCAACAACTCGCTGTTGTGGGTCTGGAATCAATTTTGCAGTAAAGCCCCCTGAAGCTACTGATCCAGACAGTTTGTTAAACCTGGACAGAAGGCAGGAAGAACTCTTTATAAGCTTGCCATTTAACTCTTTATGTTCTTCCCCCACCAGCCCTCTCTTCCCCCTTGTTCCCTATCCACCCTTCTGAAGGACATGCCCCGAGTCAGGTCCCCCGTCGCGGACATAAAGTGACTTTGAAAGCAGGTAATTGGAAGTCATGATCCCCGGATCAATAACTGTCCGTCAGAAAATGAAAAGAAAAAGACAGAAGGGAGGGGAGGGAAACGAGGCCTTGATTTCATTATCCCCACAGGGAGCTTTGGTCCCGTTTGTTTTTCCTTTCTCCAGATCAATAATCAAAACAAAAATGGTTTCTTCTTCATTTTAAGTACCTTGATGGAGAGGACACCGAGTGGGATGAATAATTAAGGGGACAGAGGAATGACGACAGATGAATAATAGTCAGTGTCAGAGGGAAGGAAGGCATGGGAGAGCTAGAACCAGGACTGGGGGGGAGAGACTCCAGTAAAATGAGAGGTTTTCTAAAAGGGAATCTGGTACTCGGATACACCAACGTTGTTATTCACAGGGACCGCCAATAACAACATCAAATTTAAGTTTCTTGTAGTTGCTCAAAAGAAAAACGTTACATACAAATGATACAGATCTTAAAATATAAATATATTTACAATAAAATACACTCACGGTTGAACAAATGAGCAATGACAAACACACACCTTTGTCGCTGGTCGGGTCTTGTTTGAGGATGGACAGAGGGGAGCGCATGGTCGGCTTGCTGAGGGGGTGACGGCGACTCTTCACCTTGGAGAAGGATGCCTGATAAAACAAAAAGATTGTTTCATACCGTCGTATTTTTACATTTCTTTTCTGTGCTTTTAACTTTGCAATATACAGCAGTAAACACCAATTTCAAATTATAAAATTAAATTAAATTTTAATATATTAAAAAGCTGTAATTCACGTGTTTTGCTGTGGGCACGCTGTAACTTTTTTTTCTCATACAGTGGGTACGGAAAGTATTCAGACCCCTTCAAATTTTTCACTCTTTGTTTCATTGCAGCCATTTGCTAAAATCAAAAAAGTTCATTTTATTTCTCATTAATGTACACTCAGCACCCCATCTTGACAGAAAAAAAAACAGAAATGTAGAAATTTTTGCAAATTTATTAAAAAAGAAAAACTGAAATATCACATGGTCATAAGTATTCAGACCCTTTGCTCAGTATTGAGTAGAAGCACCCTTTTGAGCTAGTACAGCCATGAGTCTTCTTGGGAATGATGCAACAAGTTTTTCACACCTGGATTTGGGGATCCTCTGCCATTCTTCCTTGCAGATCCTCTCCAGTTCCGTCAGGTTGGATGGTGAACGTTGGTGGACAGCCATTTTCAGGTCTCTCCAGAGATGCTCAATTGGGTTTAGGTCAATGCTCTGGCTGGGCCAGTCAAGAATGGTCACAGAGTTGTTCCGAAGCCACTCCTTTGTTATTTTAGCTGTGTGCTTAGGGTCATTGTCTTGTTGGAAGGTGAACCTTCGGCCCAGTCTGAGGTCCAGAGCACTCTGGAAGAGGTTTTCTTCCAGGATATCTCTGTACTTGGCCGCATTCATCTTTCCTTCAATTGCAACCAGTCGTCCTGTCCCTGCAGCTGAAAAACACCCCCATAGCATGATGCTGCCACCACCATGTTTCACTGTTGGGATTGTATTGGGCAGGTGATGAGCAGTGCCTGGTTTTCTCCACACATACCGCTTAGAATTAACGCCAAAAAGTTCAATCTTGGTCTCATCAGACCAGAGAATCTTATTTCTCATAGTCTGGGAGTCCTTCATGTGTTTTTTGGCAAACTCTATGCGGGCTTTCATATGTCTTGCACTGAGGAGAGGCTTCCGTCGGGCCACTCTGCCATAAAGCCCTGACTGGTGGAGGGCTGCAGTGATAGTTGTCTTTGTGGAACTTTCTCCCATCTCCCTACTGCATCTCTGGAGCTCAGCCACAGTGATCTTTGGGTTCTTCTTTACCTCTCTCACCAAGGCTCTTCTTCCACGATTGCTCAGTTTGGCTGGACGGCCAGGTCTAGGAAGAGTTCTGGTCGTCCCAAACTTCTTCCATTTAAGGATTATGGAGGCCACTGTGCTCTTAGGAACCTTGAGTGTTGCAGAAATTCTTTTGTAACGTTGGCCAGATCTGTGCCTTGCCACAATTCTGTCTCTGAGCTCCTTGGGCAGTTCCTTCGACCTCATGATTCTCATTTGCTCTGACATGCACTGTGAGCTGTAAGGTCTTATATAGACAGGTGTGTGCCTTTCCTAATCAAGTCCAATCAGTTTAATTAAACACAGCTGGACTCCAATGAAGGAGTAGAACCATCTCAAGGAGGATCAGAAGAAATGGACAGCATGTGAGTTAAATATGAGTGTCACAGCAAAGGGTCTGAATACTTATGACCATGTGATATTTCAGTTTTTCTTTTTTAATAAATTTGCAAAAATTTCTACATTTCTGTTTTTTTCTGTCAAGATGGGGTGCTGAGTGTACATTAATGACAAATAAAATGAACTTTTTTGATTTTAGCAAATGGCTGCAATGAAACAGAGTGAAAAATTTAAAGGGGTCTGAATACTTTCCGTACCCACTGTAAATCAGTAGATTCTTTTTGTGGATTTAATTTGTGTATATTTTGCAGTGCTATCAATTAACCTACTTTAACTGAAACTGTGTCAGAAAACTAAAACGTAGAGGTTCAGCTCTACTACTTTAGATCAGCCAGCTAAATATTTGTGCAGTAAAATACCAACAACTGTGGCTTGAGATTAATAAACGTTTGCTGCCCTGTTGGATACTAACAACTTGTTACAACTCGGGGACAAATCGAATCAACTTAAAGCAGAACAATCTAACATGGGTGGCACTCACATCCAGCTTGTTGTCTGCTGGGAGATCACTCTCCCCCTCCTCTGGTTGACCGACCATGGAGTTCTTTGAAGTCTTGATGCTGGATGTAGCAAACTGCTCAAATGCTTCCTCAAACCCAGTGATAGCGTTGTGGATAATTGACATCTTCTTCGACTTTTTCTGCTTCTTTTTCTCTGTGTCCTCAGTCAGGTTCTGTGGTTTGGCCTCGGGTTCTTGGCAAAAAAAAAAACAACAACAAGAACTTTAGAAGGGTAGTGATGGCTGTTGTGGCAACTAGAAAACCTGTTGCGACTATTTAAGGTGCGATGAATAGCAATTTAATACTCCAAAGGATTATTTATTGCTTGCAAAAGCCTCCATGTACGCCTGGGGAAGACGCACATGAGACTGAAGAGAAACAGGTTACATTGCAGCTTATAGTTGAATGTCATTATTATTGAAGTGCAAGCTTATCAACAAGGTCAGAACACTCCCGCTCCCCCTTTCAAATAACATTTATTTTTACAATTAACAGTTAAAATGATGAAGGCACCTGTACATGACAAGGTAGTACAACATTTAAACCATTAACCCCTTAAGATTTCACACTCCTCTTTGCTCCTATGAGAGCAAGGCTTCATTCTTAGGTTATACTTCATTATGTTTTGGCAGCACATGAGTACTTAACACAACAATTCCCCTCGGAGCAGTGAGGGCTCATGAAAAAACTTTGAGGAGGCTGAAAAGGTGATAGACAGCATGAGGTACTGAGATTATTAATGGGGTGGGGATTGAGCTGAGACGGGATGAATTTGGAATATTCCATCTGGAATGATTTTTGATAGAGTTGAGTTATCCACATTTCATAGTGCAGCTGCAGTTTAAGAGATCACGTCCACGTTAATCTAGTGACATGTCCTGGAATAACACCTCATAACTTCCTGTTTCGTGCGTTTACTCAAACAAACAATCTCTTACTGCTTATATCGTCCTCACCCTCTACAGCTGGATTCTCTGCGACTTTGGCAGCAGCTTCGGCAGCCTCCTGCTCCTCACGCTCCATGGCCTCCAGGGTCATCATGGCCTCCTTGGCTAGACGCTCCTCTCTCTCCTGCCTCCGTTGGGCCTCACGCTCCTCCACCTGATGTTGGTACTCGGCAGCATTTAACTCAATGCCTTCCTGCGCCAGCACCTTCACCTCCTCCAGCTTTAAACGACGGACTTGCTTCATCTTCTGCATGGCCCTGGAGTGAAACACGATGACCGTTATAGATAGATCTAGATCTAGATCTAGAGATCGATCTATAGATAGATCTATATAGATATAGATCAAAACCTTCCCTCCATGTTGCCATTTGCCCTAGAGCCAGCAAAAGTCCACCAGATGACTTTTGATGGCAATTGAGCGGGTAGCTCTGGGTGTTGTTCATTTGCATATACTACCCACATTGTAATGATACAAAGCTGGTTAAAAAATTGCCAAAGTCCTCCTTCAAGACAATATATATAGTGTGACCTCTCACCTTCTCAGGACATTTGCTCTGTGGTTTACACGCTGCTCCCTCCAGCGCTCTAGCTCGGGGCTGCTGAGCCCAGTGGCCTTAAGGTGGTCCAACACCGCGGTGTCTTTGCCCTGCTTCCACATCTCGTAGCGATCCGGCTGCAAGCAGCGCACAAACACGTCCATGGAGATCTTCACCATGTCTTTACGACAGGTACACTGGAGAAAAACAAGTGGAGAAGGAAGAGATGCCTGTATGTTAAGACTGGAGAATAGCTGCAAGCAAACAAGCCTACTCCTCTACAGGGAATACTGGTGTTTGTCTACAGATGGAGCAGGTGCTACACATATTACAATATTACTGACGAAGAATCCCAAACAAAAGAATGGAAGGGGGTGGTGAAAAGCGCGTCACTGCAGAAATTCCATTTGACGGAGAGATTGTTCGTGTACTGAAATTTTATGCATTTACATAAAGAATATGTCGTGTTTTATAATGAATGCATCATTAGATCTATTTCTATGACAAGTGTGCTATGCACTCTGCCAAGAAGGTGTCTTTATACTCCCCGCTGAAGAGGTTTTACTCTTTGCAATGAACAAGTAAACATTATGAATATGCTCCAATTCTGCATTTGAAACATTATATATGCAAATCGCATTAATTATGATACACCTGATGCAACTTGATTTCATCCGAATTATATCCCAGAATGGAGGGAGCTACAATAGCAAGGTTAAATTTATGCAGCCAGTGAATAGGGTTGACAGCCGTATTTGCTAATGATAGTGATTTTTTTAATCATATTATACATATTACTGCAGTGTGGAGTGAGAAGGGCATTTTGTGCATGAACACGTAAAAAGAGTCAGGGTCCGAGCCTAGCACAACAGCTGTATAAAGATAAAGACGGTTAGTACAAACCAAAAGTGGCGACTGTTTTAGTCTTTAGGTTTAGCTCTATTGAAACGATGACATGCGCCGAGTTTGTTGTGCTGCATCTGGTGACTGGTGAAAGCTGATTGGGGCAAGATGAAAGACAGAAAGTGGGCTGAAAAGGTTTGAATAATACATCACTATAATCTCTGTAAGGCCATAAGTGTACAGTGGACAATAATTGGTGTCCAATGGGGATGTAAATATGCATCAGGCTAAAAGATGGTAGTGAGTAAAATGGCAGCTAATAAGACTTTGGTCAATGTGGTACTGTGTAGATGGTAATTTTGGCCATGTGCAGATAGTTCAGGTGTAAATGAGCGCTATCTGTGTGAGATAGCCGTATCCTATCAACACCTCAAGGTGCCTCCACAAACCTTAATAATGGCATTATGCATCAATGAATCATTCTGCTGAGTAGAGAAGGGAGGAGCTGTAAAAATGAAACCACAGTGCCGAACAGAATGCAAGGTAAAGCAGAGAAAAGTTTGGGAATGAAGGAAACAAAACGAAGGAGATGAAAACAAACAAAGACGGGTGAAGACAGAGACGAAAATATTTCCTTCCGTGTTTTGCTTGCTGCTAAAAACCTGGCCCTATTATTTTATGAGCTGTACTGAGAGCCTTATGTTCAATTACTGGAAACACGGCGACTCAGCCTCCCCAGCAAAACAATATCCAGCCTACATCTCATCTAGACACCACTTGACAGACGGAAACATAAAAACAGGGTGTGGAGTGGAAGGTGTTGGAGCAGAAAGTGGGAGGGCAGAAGGGGGGCGAGTGAGCATGAGTGCAGCCAATTGCTACCATCACGAAACCTTTAGCAAAAACATCGACATGCCATGAAAACTACAAATGCAAAAAGAACACAAAATAAGTGTTGCTCCAACACTGATTGTACTTGGCAAAATGTGCTATTATCATTTGTAAAAAGGATATAAAAGGCTCATTTTATTTTTATGAAACTATTAAGAGGTTATGGAGATTGTTGCCATCCTCAAGGGCCAAGATGAGTTACACTTTATTATCTTGTAAAAACTTAATTAGAGGAGGGAAACAGATTTGGAGATGCACAAGATGTGGGAAAACAAAAACTGGCCCCGAGGCAGCCGGTCAATGAGCCCTGAAGTATACTTGGGCTCCTAATGAAGCTAAATCGTTGGAGTCACAGAAGACCTCGAGCCTGGGGACTCGATGAATTAGTGGACACATTGGATGTGCCAAGCACTAATAACAAAACAGGCGTGTATTCTGACCCGTCTGACCCGGCCAACAGTGACTGGGAAAATATAATTATTCAAAAGCCTTGATGCTTGCTTTGATCCCGCTGTGACTGATGACGACAGAAATAACTGATGATGATCTAAGAAACAAGAAGTATTGGTGAGGGGATTTAAAATGCAGAACACACTGAACAGCAGTCCTTTATACCTTCCAACGGCCCATGCTGTTAAAACCTACTGTGCAATGAGACAAAAACATATCTGCAGCTTAAGTTGCCCGTTTCTGTTCAACGAATGTTTCTACGGTTTAAATACTGACTAAATTGCACTAATTTTGTCCCTCATTTATCTCCTAATAAACACCCCCATTCACCAGCAGCTGCTTAACATGCTGAATAGAAAGGGGGAGATAAAATAAACTGTAAGCTATGTAGAAATGTTAATTAATGCGTGGTGTATGGCTGTCACAACTGTAGACTGCAACTGGGTGCATAGCAAACAGTAGAACTAGCACTGCATTGCTGCATCCATAGAGTTTGTTTTCTCTTGTAAATGTCAGCAATATTTCTACTGTGATGAAACAGCATCCACCAATCTCACTGTGTGTCTCCGTCATTGATTACAATATGGCTGCCCTCTATTGGCAGTGAATGGTGGCAGGGTACACTGGGTATTACACAGCTTGCCTTGAAACTGAAGTCGCCAATAATCATCTTTTTATGGTCGTTACCAAATATAAAAACCTAGTTTGCTCAAGAGATATTGAAAATGTTTTCTTTTCTGTTTTTGTCCGTGGCTCTCTGCAGTGTTTGCTACAATAACAATCATGCTTTATTATCTGTTTGCAGTGAGCCGACCACACATCTAAAATAATGCATCGAGTTGATCGTAATCATGGACATAGGTTACACATAAACCAAGTCTAATACAAATTCTGTATGTCTAGTCACAACATGTCTGGGTTGGCCCAAACAAGACAAGTCTGCAAACTTTTTTTTTTTTTTTTTTTTTTTTTTTTTTTAAAAAGAGTGTGGGTCCTCAGCAATTCACTTTTAGGATGAAAAAGTGATGCGATTTAGTCGGAGAACCAAGAGGATGATTTGTGCTCCTCTCGCAGACAGAAAAATCACAGCGGAAGCCTGAGGGAACAGCAGCAAAGTGTGACAAAGCACCACACCAACGGAGAGAGGCAGAACACAGAAACTGATAACATTCAGCAACATAATGGTGCTGCAGACATAACTGTTTTCAGAAATAACCTGTAAGGTTATTTTTCCATCTTCAGTGGGCTCAATGCTGAGCTGTTTGCTAACAAACTTGTACAGTTAAATATGTAACTCAGTATGGCTACTAGTGCAGCTACTTCCTGCTTTAAGTGATTTTCCTGTTTATTCCAAACCAACTAGTTTAAATGTTTACCTGAATTTCTTTCTAATCACATGGTGGCACAGATCAAGATGGGCTAAACTTCTGAGTTTTTGTCCCTGGCATCTAATGTGAATGTGATTTTCTGTGCATGGATATTGATGCCTGGTACATTGTTGTTCTGATTTGGTATAAGCTGATTCCTACAAAAGTCAACTAAAGTCAATAGCCTGTTTGAAGTTATTTGAGTGAGATGCTGAACCCCTGTGATACTTTATAAAAAGGCTTATAACTAATCTAATGCATATTCAGGAAGGTTGAGGAGAAGGTTAATTAAGACTGCAATGTCGGAAATAATAGAAGTATAAGTAGATGCACACACAGCTTGCAAGGGTTGCTGACAGTGGGCCTGCTTTGACCGCAAGTGTGTGTTCGCTTGGTAATTCAGACAGATGGGTCAGCAGTTGGGGAGTCTGTATTTAAGAAGACTGACATGAAGCATGCCCGAGCTCACTCTCTCTCTTTGTGTGCTGGCAGCCCCCAAACAGTGACAAATTCAATCTCGAGCCCCATCGTTCACTGTCCCGTTTGGCGCCGACAGAATAAGGCTCAGTGGGGAGAGGACGGAAGAGGGAGGGGAGACAAGCCAAACGAGTTAACAGATGACTGTTTGAGCTTAAGAGAGAGGGGGGGGGAGATTGGGGGAGTTAGAAAGACCAAGAGAGATACGAGAGACTTCATTGTTGCCAAGCAAGTGGCTGGCAGAGGCCAGCTATATAAAACCCAATTTCTCACTGAAAATGCACTACAATTATTTGTAGGACTCTATGTACGACTACATTACTTAAAGCCAACCTTTGTAACATTCAGACAGGTCAATGCTAAAACAAAGAACAAACGGTTGCACGTTCTGTGTGTATTGAATTGACCGAGGCTGCATTATATTGCTTTGAAGAAGAAGTTCATGGTCTAACATGAGGGCTGAGTTGTATTTAAAGTTGTATTCAAAAACTTGGCTTCCAAGAGCTTAAAAACAGGTGGTCCAATTTATGTGTTCAGGACCTGCAGGCATTTGGAATAAAATATCAAAGACTTCAGTCAATAAATTTACATTTTCTCCAGACCAATACACTATCTAGATGCATCTGTAGCTACTGCTCTAACTTTACTCTTGACAACTGAAACCGTGGCCAAAAAAAGCCACTTGAAGTCGCCGAGTTAGCGGGAGTTTGGAAAAGCCTTAAGCTAACGAGCACATACAGGAGGGTCACAGTGCTGATTGATTTTTTTGTATGTAAGGAGAGAGGCTCGGTTGGTGGCCAAAAAATCCAAATGGTTTTAGAAAAATCTCATTTCTTAAAGGGCCCACTTATTAAAGAGATGAATTAATTTTTGACAGTGAAGAGGCATCGAGCCTTCCTTCTTTCTCAATTATTCATGAGTGAGGGAGTCTGAATGGATGTAAGGTTTTGCTTGAGGACAAGCACAACGACTGCAGTTGGGACTGAAGTTAAGCAGCACTGGTTATGGGACAATCTCCGTGCTACCACACCGCCCCAAGAGAATGAAATAGTCTGTGGGCAAGACGAAAAGAAAAAGGTGGACGGGCAGAAAGAGCCAAGCTGTTCTCCTTCATATTCCTCTGACTGCGTGTGTCGTGCGCACTGACGATTTGTCGACTTGGATTAGCGGTGCAGAGTGGACCACTCTTTTGTATTACGCTGAGACAAGTGTAGCGCGGATGCTCCCTGGAGCACTGGGCTGGATGGAGGGAAGACTGCTGGAGCCTGGACTAGTGGTTCTTAAATTATAAGGGGCCACATGGGTAAAGTAGGAAGACAAAAATGAGAAAGGAGGAAGAAGGGACAGACATGTAGTACTGCAAACTGTCACGTCATGAATCCGACATGCTGCCAAGTAGAGAGAAAGCAAAGGAAAAGCGACTCACGCCCATATATGTGAACACTCGCACGTGAGGAAAGAGAGGGGGACGTGAACAAGAACATTTAGAGGAATGTATAGAAAGGAGACAAGGAGGAAGGTTCTTTCAGAGGGCATTGGATACGGGCTCCCGTCTATAACCGGCCCATGCCCTGTCAATTTCATGCTCAGCAGCCCACGGGCAAGGAGGCAGCTTGCGTCAATGCAGGAATGCGGGGGTACGGTTAGTGTCGGTAACAGATGGTGTGAAGCAGAGAGGCACACGCAGCTTTTATATTTCGATACGATCTATTACTTCATCCCTTCAGAGAACCAAACAGCCAAAGCAAGAAGGCTGTAAAGTTGCTGCTGAATTATACATCGGCTCAAACCTGTTCAAGTGCAGTGTCTGCGTTTGCCCGCGGGGTGTTTGTGTGATGATGACGACATTGGTGGAGATTTAGGTGGAGGTTTCCAGGAACCACAAATGTACAATTTCACATAACTTCTGAGATTAATTTGTTAATTGTCCAGCTTTCACTATGTGGAATGTATCACTATTACCTCTTTTACAGTTACACTGACTTTCAATGATACAGGACTGAAGAAAAACGCAGATCTGTCCGTCTTATCTTACCTGGGTAGCCATTTTGCCGTAGTCGACCCAGCGAAGGGTGGCAAAGTTTGTGGACTCTGCGCAGTTGAAGCCATGGTTGAAGCCAGCATGGTAGCCGTAAGGAAAGGTGACCATAAACTCTCCTTCATTCTGAGTTATCTGTTCATACAGCAAGAAAAACAGAACAAGACTTACAAATCTTAACATGTTACGACTATTTTTAAAAACAAAAACACTTTGTTTAAAAGACAACACTTGTTTCTCAAGTTTTCATAAATATCGTCATTTCTTGATATTCTTTATTGGACTTTTTATTTTGTTGAGGCGTTCTTCAGTAGCAATGATCATATGAAAACCTCAAACACAGAAAACTTTAGTTTTGTTTAAATCACTTATTTCAATAACTGTGTTGACTATTAGACTATGGCAGCCCGTCAAAGTCTGATTTGTCTCGCGACAGTTTAATAATGAACCAAAAATATTTTTACACGTCTCAACAGATGGGCTGGCTGGCCCTCTCCTGGCACACTGTAGTGGTGCACAGCGACTGGCTATAGTTCAGGGGGTAAAGTGGTTCGCTGCTCTGGCCATGTCAGCTTTACAGTCCTCCCCCGGACTGCTGCTTTGCTGGGGCCCTCAACTTAGTCGCTCCCTGCGAGGAGTGACAGAGCGCCCTGTTCCCGACGTGACACACCCAACCTTTTTATCTTTTATTATTTTATTTCATTTATTTTTAACGTATCCAACAGTCTCACTGAGCTTTCTGTTTGCAAACTCTGTGTTAAAAGGTGCTATATAAATAAAGTTATTTAACCTGTCTTGAAACACAGACCCAGTCTCGTTTACCATGCTTTGCGAGTGTGACTTTTTTGCTGTGTCATCACCATTCATATTTAAACAACTAATGTGTTTATGATTAAACTATTTACTAGAGCACAGTGACATTTTTTTATTATTTATTTAGTTCTTTAGTTGATTTATATTTTGCATTAAGAATCTGAATAGTAGCTAGGAACTGAAGTGCAATGATTCCCTCTGAGATGTTATGGAGTAGACGTATAAAGTTACATAGTATAGAAATATTCAAGTAAAGTATGAGTACCTTAAAAGTATACTTAAGGACAGTACCTGCGTAGCCTCAATGTACAGTATCACTTCATTATGTGTTTGCCACTATGCAGGTGAATGCTATTTTGCCATTTTCCATTTATTTTCTTCCAGTCACCCGGGGCCGGGTCGCCGGGGCAGCAGGATTATAAAATAGTCCTCCTGGGGAACCCAGAGCCTCTTCTACGCCAAATGAACCCCTTTTGCTTTAATCTTATTAATGAAGCATCGTTTCAGATGAACACATGTAATACTTGCAGCTGTGACTCCAAGTTTTCCGTCAATTAAGGTATTATCTGATCTTTTTCTAAAACATATTCTATTATCACTCATGAGTCTAACAACCGCAGCAACTTTTCTCTAAGCTTATCTGACTTGCGAGCTAAATTAATTCAGCCTAACATGACTGCTGCTCCAAGGGTTGAGTGTCTTCCCATGAGCTCAGAGTTATTCTGAGAATGTTTAAAAATGTGAAGACAAGTTAAGCATATTTTTTTTTTTCCCTTTACGTGTTGCCCCAAAACTTAAGCCCTATATGTCTGGTTGTGGATCGCAACTTCTTTGTGAAGTCTGGATCCAGGCATTCAAGCGACACATCAAGCCAGACAAGGTGACAGGCATGCGGGGAGAAACGGGGGTAGAGGCTGAGAGTCAGAGACAAACTTCCTCAACTAAAGGCAGTGGTTCAGATATCAAACATCCCTTTTTACTTCTGCAAAAACGCAAGAAGACGGTTTTATTTTTACACATGAATCGAGAGTACTGTAGGTGTGTAACGAGTAACATGTTCGCTGTGATAATGACATCCTGAGGGGGGAGTGAAAAGATAACTGGGGTTGGGGGGGGGGGGGGCCCCTCTGCGACAGTGGAGAACTTTGTATGCCGGCTCTGTGCCACTTTTTTTTTTTTCCTTTTTCCTCAATCTTCTATTAGTTTTTGCATTGTGAAGATGTATATTGCCTACCGAATAGAACAAAAACAAAAAGAATGCCAATCAATTTCCTACGAGAGACACGACCGAAGATCACTTCTCCTACTGTGTCAATAGTGCAGCCTGCAGCAGTTGTGGTGTTTGCATCAAAGCTGAGCCACTAACCTCCTGTGTGCCCACTCCTTCTTATGCAAGACCCACAAATGTTATCAGGCAACAATTAGTCAGGCATACATAACTTAACTTCCTCTTTCAAACATGATATATTTGAAGCTTCTTTATTATTTCAATAGCAATGCCTTCACCACGTCTTGACACGACTGTGTGTGTGTGTGTGTGTGTGTGTGTGTGTGTGCGTGTGTGTGTGCGAAGGTCTTTGCCTTTGTAGCAGTGTGGGTACAGTATATAACCCCAACGTCCCGGGTCTGACTCCAGCTTTGGGACCTCTGATGCATGTCATACTCCTCTCGGCCAAAAATGTTTTTGAAATGACGCGTATTGTTAAAGCAATGAGAATTATGCTGTGGCCTATGCACTGCTACGGATTTTATACCATAGAAATATTTATGCAGTCACTTGACATACATTTATTAGAGTCCCTGTGACCGGGGAATAACAGCTTTCTTTGTTGGAGTGTTAAGCTAAACACTTGAGTTAGCAGACGAGAGAGTAGGGAGAATGTTGAATGATGGTGCGCAAGTGGCTCTAACTTTAAGCATGCATCGTGACGGTCCTTCAATACTGGCTGAAGTAAAGATGCAGAAGCTTCCAACAGTAACACAGAGATTGTCCCCTCGTACTCAGACCAACATGAACACTATTTTCTCAAAGAGATCTAAAAAGAAATGTCCTTTTATGTCATGCAACACGGACCAGTCGGCACTCACCCTGTCAAAGGGAATGCCATATTTCTTCAGGATTGAGGGGGATAACAGCGTCATCTTGTGGCGAAGGAAGGCGTCGCAGCCTTGGGAGCTGCCAGGGAAGAAGCCTGCAGGGGGGTGACAGCGAACACGGAATATTTAATGTATTTCACCAAAAATCCAGATAAAAAACAAATTATTTGATAAACCCATGAAAAGCTATATAAATACCAGGAGGCTCTACGACAACAAACTGAACGTAGCCATATGTGCTGTGTACCTGTCTTTCTTTCCATCATATACTGATACAAATTCCTGTACATACATGTTGTTTAGCATGAATTGATCACCAGCAAATAGTGTTTGCCTGCTTCAAATCAAAGTAAACAACTTAGCAGTGTCTGAATGGCAGCGAGGTGCATCACTGTGTGTTCTGGCGGTTCCGTTAGCTGTTAGCAATTAGTCAAACACACCGCCTACCGTCGTAGATGCACTCAGTTGTGTTTTCACTAGCGGCCTGCAGAGTCACACACTCAGTCACAGAAACACGGACTCACAGTCTCAGTCACAGAAACACAGACTCGCAGTCACTCTGACACACACACACACACGACCAATTGCATGATCCTCCTCCTTGCAGAGATTATAATAAGGATCGTGGTTTTGAAATGTTAGAGAAACTTCTTTGTGGCGTGTGAATGAGCCATTGTCTCGTGACAGAATATAGGTGGTGAGTGTTCAATAGAAAGATTGAGGATGTTCAGCAATTTCAAGGTGATCGGTTAAGAGCTGACACTAATGCAGCAGTTGGTCCTGAAAGCCTTTGATTATCTGAAACATTTCCCGGTCCCACAATCACCCCATGTTACGATGCCCATCCCTGTGGTAGGTGTTGCAACAATTGCAAACATTATCACTCACTGCTCCACTCTGATCAATGATTTTTTTTCTCGGAAAAAAAATGATTATGCCAGTAATTCTGCTTTCAAAAGCTAGAAAACACCAATATTCTGCTTAAAATGTGGTTCCCGGTGTAGCAGTCAAGAGAGGACTGTCCACCATCATTAAATGTGTGAATGGGGAAACAATCAGCAGTGCTGCCACAATATTTGCACCTCACTCTGATACTGAAACTGCAGCCCAGTAGTTTTATGATCATCGGACCTTCAGACCGTCAACCTTTAGGCTACAACTTGGATTCAAAACATGTATATGCACAATACAAAATAAGATAATACTTGTAAAAAAACATGTGCAAAAAACAGATGACCTGTGTGTCACTTAAAGGCAAAATCACAAAACATGTTTTGCATTTGATTTAAAAAAAAATCTGTTCACATGCTGTAGAATCAGCAATCAGATTTGTAGGCTACAAATGGTTAGTTGGTGGTTGTTTTCATATATGTATTGGATGTTTTATGTATTTTGATTCAAAAGGTTTCTTATGTTTCTAACGGAAGATAGTAGAACACATTTTAGTAATAGGATGCTGCTTTAAGGAAGGTTTTTGGCAGTTTTGGAAGAGGGCTTAGTTGGCAGGTAAATATTTAAAGAATGCCAGATAAGCTTTGCCAATTAGGCTAAAAAGATTTCTGCAGCAGAAATGTAGCAATGTTTCCAATATTATTTTTAATCCCACAACCTGGAAAAGGAAATCCGGTTTCCCCTCGACATGGGCGTGAATTACTCTATTGCTCAAAGTGTGGAATAACGATGCATTAATGCATTGTTTGTGTGCCTCCAGGTTGCATCTCTGCTAGATTACATTTGGGCACAAAAAGACTACTGCACAAAACTGGGACTGGGTTCTGTCACTTTCAAAAATCTTTGTCCCATTGGGCACAACCATAAAAAAAAAAAACATTTGTCTAAAGATTTACTTTGCAATGGCAGGCAATTGTGTGCATATATATTGCGCTATTAATTCTACGAAGCGGCAGCAATAACACGATTGGAAGACAGAGGCTACCAATTGTCTTTATAGTCGAACATGAGAGAACCAGAACACCGCCACTATTTCGTAAAGATGGGGTGGTAGCATCCGGGGCTGGGAGAACATGACGGAGGGGAAGTGAGTAAGGAGCCGCTGCAGGAGAAGCAGTGGCTCCCCACAGCAACAGCAGAGAAAGTATATTTGAATATTTCCTTTCAATGTGTATATTAATAAAGATAGAAATAAGTTTAGGCAGCTAATATTTCTGGTGCCGACTAGTGAGGGTAGAAATGTTTTATCGACGAGTCGACTAATCACGTACGACCCCCTAACTAGGGATGCACCACTACAATACCAATATCGGGCCACCAGTCAGTATCGGGACTGAACGGGCTGGATTGGTGATTCCCCAATAAAAACACCAACTTTGAGATCATAATATACTCCTCTGACATATTGGGTTTTCAAAGCCACAACTCTGTCTAATAAAAGGCTCACTTCAGCTCTTGGAGACAGAGACTCTGCCTCAGCATAATCAAAAGAAAGAAATTCTCCTCCATCGCTCACTCTCCCGCTCTTTACCGTCTGTGCCCGCCAGTGCCTCAAAGGGGGGGTCCATCCAAGCCTCCACCCAGTTAAAGTTTAATGTGACCGACAGTATAGTCGGCACCCATTTCATCCTTCATTTTCACTGCATTGTTTCAGCCTCTGTTCCACCCTACAAAGCAAGAGAGGGAGAGAGGGCTTCTATTCTCTCATCGCCTGCCTGCTTGTTGGAGCTGATAAAAAAGGTGAATAATGTGCAGAGAGAGCGCGGGTATTAATCCCCATTAAAATGCAGCTGGCTCTCTGAGCTCTCCATGGGGTAATATTAACTTAAAGGCTTCATTCTGAAAATGAAGTTCCTGCCTCCAACTCTGCACAACCCCCCCCCCCATCCAGACACCCCCACCAAAAAAAAAGTCTGAAGCCATGACTGAAATAACGCGGAGATGAGGAGCGATAAGACCAACGGCTGTCGCTGTGTCAAATGTTTGGAGAGGAGTTTTCAAGTAACAAGACCATTGTCCCAGCCCCATTAGGTATTCCTACTACACTCATAACTGCCTTTTTAGGACCTCGTAAACAGTTGGCTACCTTTGCCGACGATGGCTTTGATAGGACAGTGGGTGCTTGTTAAATAACATTGGCATTGCTTTCCTCCCACTGCCAGCTGCTTCGATGAGAGGAGAGAGGAAGGCTGCAATCTGACTGTGACTGAGCTCAATGCCCACATGGAGAAGTCCATGATAAAAAAAATGTCTAGTGTGTATTTCAAGGTTGGACTTTGATATCTATTAATTCAGTTTTTGAATTCGCCATCAATTCAGAATCCTTTTGAGTCTCTTATTAAATCTATTTCAGGTTCACTTTACCAACCTCATTCACAATCTTGAATAATAAAACACAGAACATGTAAACTTAACATTTAACAAATTTAATCTTAAATCTATATATTTATGGGAATCAAACAATTCTTTTTTGTGTATTGTGACTTAAGTTGTCAGTACAATAGGCCTTTCTCACAGCATGTATTTGACTTGCCATTGTAGGAAAAGTACAAGTGGAAGTAATAACACTAACTGTGGCTCCCTTCCATGACGATGGGTCAGGAAGTCAATGTGAACTGTGAAACTGAAACAACCAAAGCAGCCATTATTACTGTTCCTAATGTCCGCCGTGAAATTGGTCCTTTTATCCAAGGCAGCGGTTATTTTCAATACAGATTTTGTAGGATTTTCACCAGGTCGTTTACTGAAGTGCGACTCAGACGTTATTAGAGGGCTAGGGTGAAAGGAACCCGGACAGTTTTCTTCCCTGTGGAGAGATTGCTCGTCTGTCAAATATCACATAATGTGTATTACATACTACCAAGAACTGTGTTCCAGTGCAAAAGAAAGATATCAAGTGACGCGGGCTATGCATTGGTGATTATTGATTTGTTCTCGGCTCTTCACAACAAGGACACACGGTGTGTCATTTTAACGTAGTGTAGACTGGGGGCATCTAATACCTCACTCTGAGCAACTTGCGATACACAAGTTAAGCCTCATTGATTAGAAGAGGGGATAGAATGAGGAGAACATGAGTGGTGGGAATACAAAGGGAGAGGCGCAAGGAGAAGGCAAAAAGAGAAGGGCAGGTGGCTGAAGCAACACGAGTGGTTAAAGATTATTTCACTTCAGACACTATTTATCTGAGTTCTAATGTGCTGTGAGTAACACATGTGCAGCGCGTGACATTGAGGATGTCCCCATCTTCCTGGTGGAAATAAAAATAGCACCTGGGACACAAAGATACAGTGTCTGGGACAATATTGGGATAGTAGAAAAACTTTGTGCGTCATGGAATAGATCTCCTTTTGGTAGTTGGATGTTGAAATTCAAAAAAAAGTAAGGTTCTTTTAACTGAATGATAAAACTCGGAAGCTGTTATGTGTTCAAACTGGTGTTCAAAAAAACCCGCATAGTATTGACACTGAGGAGCCCTGCAGACAGAGTCTGACTCTGGAGACATGAGGTCATGAAGGGACAAACCAAGGTGGAAGATCTGCATTTGCAACCTTGCTTATTGCAATTAAATTCCAAAAGACAGATTCTCTCTGTAAATTGATGCTTTATATTTACTAAGAGCCAATTTCCCCCAACAGTAGGCTTTGTAGGTTTACTCCAATTCATTCTGCAGAACACACACACACACACACACACACACACACACACACACACACACACACACACACACACACACACACACACACACACACACACACACACACACACACTCGATGCTGCTGATTTCAGTTCCACCAACCTCTCCACCAAGTTCAGTACCTACAGCCCTCCTTTTCATACAAGTGACTGCACCCACTTAAGTGCTTCAAGCTGCCATTTTTTTAAATCAGGCTCCATTTTAGCACAGCAAGGTGACAAAGAAATAAATGTTATCGCATGGGATGAGAACGGGGGACATCAAAGTTTCTCACCCGCTGAATACATGCAAAAGATATTTCACTGTGAGGACCACCGTGAGAGCCAAACAAGAGTTTAGCGTGATCTCATGGTGTGTGTTGAACAGTCGGAACTTGCTTCTTCACAGAGAAAGCTCGGGCGGGGCGTGAGAAAGGTAAAATAGATCTGAATTGAAAAGCATCATTGGGGCCTCACCTTTAGCCAGCCTCTCCAGCCTCTTGCCATGCTCAGGTGGGATGGCATACCTGCAGACAGATGAGGAAAAGAGGAATCGGTTTAGTGCACAGTTGGCCTATCATTAAGAAAGATTGTCTTATTACCAGATGGGCACAATGTTGACATTTGTAACAACAAAACAAGTTGTAGCACAGCCTTTTCTCTAACATGTTCAGTTCCAATATTCTCGTCCCTCCAAACTCCCTCTGAATATTTTGCTATTGTTTCTTTCATGTATTTTCCTAGAACGTTCACACATTTTTAACATATTCTCTAAATTATAATCCTTTTAGAACTTTTACATGTTTGAGCTATGAACTCCTTCGGTTCTTTCTGCCCCTTAGCTGATGATCTACAGGGATGTGCTGTCCAGTCGCAACTATAAGACCTTTTTGGTAATAGGATGCTGCAAGTAAAATAGAAGTCAAGATGGAAACTGTAGGTCCATCAGAGGGCAGCCTTCAAGATATCATGACACCACTATCTTCTTTAACAACCTCTACTGGTACTGAATTAAATAGAAGCCTCACTTAGCAATGCATAAAGCCTTGTCATAGGTGTGTTCAAACTGAAGGTGCATTTCAACTTGAGCAACGTTTCCAATTATGATTACGTTGAGTTTTAACACCCAGAGGCAAGAGGAAAATGGCAAGAGACACAGGGAAATAACAGACAGTCATAGAGTTAAATGTTAACATACCTGAATAATTAAAGCTATAAATACTAAATCACTAAATACTGCCCTTGATAACAACGCTGTGCAGATACTTTAAAAAAGTAAAAACATTGGAGGGGGAAGAAGGGGAGAAAGGGAGAGTGGTGAAAAAGATTAAATGGCCGGTGAAGGGCAGGACCAGGTGAAATGACTGTTTTGGGAGAGCTGGGCTATTTCACTCCCCTCAGCACTCACCATTTTAAGAACTTAAATTACCCGTGACATATGCCCCCCCCCTTCTCTTCTACACACGCATACATCATGAAAACCAATCATTATTCTTACCAGTGATGAGGAGACGGCGGTTCCAAGTTTGCTAGCATCGTTTTCATCTACTCTAGTTTGTCTGTGTTTTTAAAATGTGATATCTGTGCAAATTAGCAATTAAGATACCCTTTTGGTGTTTTATCATATTTTAGTGTTTTCCAAGAGATCCGAGTCGTCGTGCTGTGAATACATACATGAGGTAGGCACTATAAAGAATAAAGAATGTACCATTACGTCCTATTACGTCCTATTTTAGATGCTACATTTAGAAAGCAAAGTCTATTTGTAAACTGCGTGGGAGGGAGCCAGCAGAGCTCAAATCTGATCTGTTAATTTGTGAAGTTATTAAAACGCTCTTTATTACTGCAATTATTTCCTCTGGGGGGGGTGGGGGGGGGGTTAAAAGAGAAAGCTTGCATTTCTCCCTCCTTACTCAAGCTTCAACAACCACAAGGCTGTTTGAAACAAAGGGAGAAAGAAAAGGAGAAACTAAAAAAGAAAGCGCAAAGATGATGAGCAAAGAGATGATGAGAAACATTTAGGGAGAGGCATAATAAGACCGAGAGAGGGAGAGAAAAATAATGAATACAATGAAAGTAACAGACAAAGTCAAATAGAGTCAGAGGTCCCAATATATGGTGCCACACTGCCATCTGCGGACGAAAGCTTAGCGCTTCAGAGCGGTGCAGCCTCCTCCAGTACTTGGACTAAAGTCCTTCATTCCGTTTTGGAGCCAGCAATTTGACAAGGAACACCTGTTTTAAAATCCAGGTCATTATCTCAGAGTTGTAACGGGACGATTTTAGTGAATAAATATGCAGCCCATTGTGACTTTGTACTCATTTTAATTTAATTATCGCTCTCCAAATATATTTTTCATTTGTGCATTTTGTTGCACTTTTGTACTTTGTCCTGTGACTACAAGACAAGTAATAACTTCTGAGTCCGAACAGGTTGTATTTCAACTTACCCGAAAACTTGGCATCAACTTAAACCAAGCATTGGGTGTCACTTCTTAATCAAACCACAGTTAGTTCCAGATTTCCGTTAGTTATGCAACAAGCCTACTTGTGAGTGCCAATAAGAGCAAATATAGCACTCAGACTTTGTCTCCATGTGGATCACTGTGTTTTATTTACTTTTGATTCACTACCTGTACCGTAGAAACACCAACGACACCACACAAACCGTACTGGGTCATAACTCAGCCGTACCAGGAGGATAAAACACTCGGGCATCACGAGTAGTGTTTGTGCTTAGCTAGCTTAAACACGTACCTCTGTTCTGAAGGGGAAATCAATATTGATCTTTGCATCTCACTCTTGGTAAGACAGTAAATGTCAACATATCCTAGAATGTCAGCGTATTACTTTAAAAAGGTGTTTGCGTTTGAGTTTTCTGTGTAAATTTCACCACTCAGATGATCCCTTCCATCCCAGGATCAGAGTAAACAAATCAGTCGATCAGTGTGTCTCCTCCTGTTCCCTCCCTCCTACTCCCGTTTCCTCCCTCCTAAAACCACGGTTGCCATGGCAGCAACACGTCCGTCACTCCGGCAGCAAAGAGAGAAATACACACATAAGACCACACACAGTAAATAAAGGGTTTAAATGTTGCACCTCTCTGACACACAGTATTATTTATCTATGGCAGCATGCATTTGTGTGTTTTACAGACGTGCTGCGGTACATGTACGACAAGCAAGTTGTTCTTGTTTAACATTTATCAACTAAATACAATTCCAGTCTTCACAAAAATCAGAAGTACTGAGTGCACATATCTGTCAGGTGACATGGGCTGGGTATCGGTTAGAAGTCATCGACCTAAGCAACCTTCATGTTGGAAGTAGTATTGAACCCTCTCCAGTCAAACAATACCTACATTCATCCTTTCTGTGGCCAGATCTGAATATTTGTACGGTTTTGCTGGCAGACAATCACCGCAAGCGTTCTTTGATTTAATGCGACGTGTGATTTGCCCACTACCGCAGCAGCTACAACCCATACAGCCGAGACAGGAGCTGGTGGCTAGCAGACAGCTAACAGTGCTAACGGTGCGACCGGCAAGAGTGCTTGGGGGGGGGGTGTGGGTTAAGCTTGTTGTTAAGCTTCTACAACAACAAATAATACTAGCATTATACTGCTTTGGCAATTGCATTGGCGGCTTTGCAGCTACTGTGCCACTGATTTGTTGACACTTCTGTAGTTATGCATGTTCAATATTGTTGCTGCCAGAGATTCCAGATATCCAAGACTCCAAAGACTGACGGGAACGATTTTTCTACCTCGGCTGTCAGTAACTAAGGTTTGAACGATAATACCTGAACACATTTAACATTTAGCAGTAAGCAAGAGTTCACCTCCAGTATTTGCTGTATTTTTGTGCCCGAACAAACATCGGACCCTTAACATCTCTTTCTAATTTTCTACACTATGTCCACATGCAAGATTCTTTTATTTTTGTTATATAAATATTGATATGTATGTGCTAATGTCTGAACACACATTTTAAGGAGAGAGATGCTCTTGGCAGCAGATCTGAGACCCTCTCAGAGCTTACTTGAAAATTCTTAACAGCAACTATGGAACCTCTAAAGGTGAGTCTAAGTCAAAGGCCAGAACACCCCACCAAGCACTCAAACTTCAGTTACAACCCAACTAAGGCTATATGCAGATCTTGAGCTCTGCATTTCTCTCCTCTGAGACACACAAAAAAAAAAAAACTGAGAATGGTTCTAAACCTTTGGACTACAGAGGATGAGGAGTGATGGATTCATAATAAACTCGGGAAGCTGCAGCTGGGGTATACTTCAAAATATCCTTTTCAATTCTCTTTCGGCAGCCTTTCCCTACCTCTCCCTCACATGCTCGGAGGCTAATCTTTTATCTGACAGCAGATCTGGTGCTGTGTGTTGGAGTAGAAAGGTGATTGAGAGGGTTTCAGCAATGAAAATAAAGAGAAGAAGAGTGATGGAGGGATAAAGACAAGGAGAAAGTGACTGACTGCTGAGGCTGAGATCTTTTACACGCTCGCGAGCGTGTGTGTGTGTGTGTGTGGCAGTGGTTATGGTGAGGTCTGACTTTGATGGGAGCTGAGTTGTAGGGGAGAATGGACTTAATTTCACAAACGGCTGCACTATGAGAGGAAGAGAGCGTGTGTTTTAAAAAGGGACATGCTCTGTTTAACAGCATGTAATTACCCCACGACACACAAGTATAAAAGTGAAAATGATTCAATTTCTGAAAAATGAGGATGGGATGGCTTGGCGAGCACAGAGAGTGACAGAGGGAGAACAAAACCAAGCGAGAGAATTAAAAGAAAGCGAGGAAAAGAAGAAACGAATGGTGTGCATCCATCCATCTAAAACTAAATTAGTCTTAACATGGATGATGGTATGGGCAAAGTAGGTGGAGGTATAAAGATGAAAAAAAGCAAGAACGTTAATATGCATCAGTGTGTTGGCAAACTGCAGACTCAGCATGGGCAGATTTAAACTTTGAAAAGCCATAGAGGCAGTATTACATATACACAAATGTCTAATAAAAGAGAGAAACACATATGCACATTTGCTTGTAATTATTATGCACCTCTAGCTGGTTTGCCAATAGAAAGAAGAAGATAAAGTGGATGCTTGTTTTGAAGATCCGCCATTATCAACATTTAGACAATTTGTCTTTAAAGAAATATAAATGCAGCCAAATGGCGTTGAACTCCCGGCAAACAGTATTATGATGCATTACCGCCACCACCTGGAATGGATTGTGAATGCGCATGTGTGGAACGCCAGGCCAACGTGGACCGCCCGCAGCTGTCCGCAGGTACATACACACACACACACACAAACTTTGACAGTAAGTTGTAAGGAAACCTTCCCGCTCTCAGTGAGAGGTGTGAAAACGAGACAGATAGAACATTTTAATGAGAGAGCACATCACAGAGAGGGGGAACTAGTGTAACACACACAGTCTCTCTCGCTCACAAACACACACCGCTCCAGGAAGCGGACAGGAGAGGGGATACATACTGTGACAAAAAGGAAGACAGGTAAGAGAACAAACACACACACACACAACTGTATTTCTGAGTTGGCACTGCTCACCACCTGCAGCGCCATAGATGGAAACCACATGGAGGTAAAAAAAAAAAAAAAAAAAAAGAAATCGGAAAGAATACAAACACACTCACAAGAACATTAAGGGGCAGAAAGCGAAAAGAAAAATAGTATTTTTCTGCAGGGACCAAGGAGCTCCAGAGGTGAGTGACAGAAACGGAAGGAAATACATTAATGATGCACAGAATAGAAAGACAAACAGCTCACAGCTATACCTACACAACAGCTGCAACAAATGGCTCCACTTTCACACGCATTCACAAGCGCAGAGTTACGATGACACCTCAAATTTCCCGACACTTGAAAATCAGGTGATGATATAATGTTTTTCATTTGTTCAACATTCCTCAGATGTGCTGTACAAATTCTTGAGGAATCGGAAGAGAAATCAAAGTGAAAACAGAAGACGAAAACATTTTCCTACAACTAATAAAAATAACAGCTGGAAATGATGGAAGAAGAGATGATGAACAAACCCAATATCTAAAAGGTCAAAACCCGATTTGAAAACAAAAGAATGTCAAGCACGATAAAATCTCTCAAAAGTTTTGGTTATTTGCCAAATAAGGAATCCTCAGAAGGTGAAAAACAACCAATGAGAGGAATCAATATTGTGAGCATAGCACGTTCAAAGTAGCACAAAACGTGGAAATTTCGTGGAAAAAACATGTACGTCTACATGTATTAAATAAGAATATCGATATTTTGCACCAGTGTATCGATAACATCAAGCCAAAATAAAACAACATATTGTTGTATAGATATTTTCACCCACCCCTAGTATGGAGGAATTAATCTTCTTTTAAATATTTAGAAAATAACCTCAACATAACATGACCTTATAATATAAAGTAATGTATTTTGCAAGAGTTTTTGAATAACAACCAATGGGATATCATTGGTGGATTGGTTAATCATAATTAGTGATTGAATTCACTCAGGGATCAGAAGAAAGCCTAAAAAGCCAAATCGGAGAACAACCCAAAAGTGTCTTTGGCTATGCTGAAGCCTCCACTAAGCTACCTCTGCAGAACTCTACTGCTGATATCTAAAGAATATCCTCCATTGTTGGTACATCATTTAAGTACTATGAGAATTAAAAAAGTGACTGACCAGGACTTTGACTGTCCAAAGTGCAGGTAGTTGATGCTGTAGAGGTCCATGTCTTCGGTGTGCCAGGCGAACGTGGTCTTCCACATGCCGAAGTAGAGGTAGGGAGTGTTGACGCCCTCGATGACGATGCCACACTCCTGCTCCACCATATCCAGCAGTGTGTTGAGGTGGCCAATGTTCCACTCTTGAATGTCCTGAACGGAGACAACAGACATTTTCATAATTAGCGTGTACAGAGTAGTCTACACACTCAAAATGGTTTTTGATGTCAATCAGTGACAACCTGCTGGCTCAATGATCTTTGATCTCGTCACCACAGTGATAAAAACCCGCTCTTAAGAGTGGCTTTCTTATATTAAGGGCATGATATTACAATTCACATTTATCCATTAATCAATGTATTTAAAACATGCTTCACTGTGGTGCATTCATTAATCACAAGGTGTTTTTTGACTTAAGTTTCCAGGTCATCCAATAATATTTGAACACCAGCAATTCTGAGAAATCTCAATTAAAAAGCTACGCTGTCATTGAAAACAGTTCAAATGCTGACATACAGGGTACATCCCAAGTCTCTTCATTTTAATTTCCTCGCTCCTCAATCCTCGCTTGAGGAGCGAGGAGTGAGGAGCGAGGAGTGAGGAGGGATCTCAGAGGAGCCATGGGTGAGGATGCAGGAGAGCTGCATTCCAGGACGTGTTTTAACAGCCGACATGCTCCCCTCATTGTTCATCAGTCATTTGATTGGACGCTGCAGCTCATCGGACTGAATGATGAGTTATGTCATTTTAATTTCCCCCAAAACAATTAGCCCAATGAATTAATTCCAGAGTCAAATGAACTATTATTAAGTACAGTGATGATAACTGTGTGTCTTTATTAGTTATTAGTATTATTAGTTACTATTATTAAGTACAGTGATGATAACTGTGTGTCTTTATTCGTTATTAGTATTATTAGTTGCTATTATTAAGTACAGTGAGCATGTGAACAGACACAAACTTCTCAAAAGTCTCTCCAGGTGTTAAAGCCGACTGACAGCTGATCCAGCTGTGATCAGCTGATCAAACATCATCAGAAACAGACGTCGCTTCACGTGACGCTACTGAGGAAAGGACGTGTCATTTCTCTTAAAACATATTTCCTCGTTTCCTCTCTCCTCGCATGATTTCCTTGTGTTTCTTCATGCATCCCGGGTGGGAGGGACTAAGACGCAAGGAAAGGACACAAGTGAGGGAAACGAGAATGCAATTAAGAGACCTAGGATGTACCCAAAGTCTCTTTGTCCTCAAATCAATAAATTAAACTAAACAGTCGTAATTAATAACCATGATTGAAGTATCTCTCAAAAAAAACAGCCCCAGCACTTACATACTTCTTGGGAGCACACACACATAGCCCTCACCTCATCATAGATGGACCCACTGACATCAGCACCATAAATGGGTGACACAAACGTCAGGTTCTTCCAGTACTTCCTCTCTAGGTCGTCAAAGTCTTTGTGCCGGGGTGTGCAGTACCTGGAAACAGCACAGGAGTCATATTGTGAGCAGTGAGCAGGGAGACAGCCTTTCAACTAAACCCTCACATGTGCGGTCAGTTTTCAAATCACTAACATGTAGGTTGTTAGCTACTTTAAAGGGGCCATAGGTGCCATCTTAAAAATAAACGAATCCAGAGACATTCTTAGATCTGCTGCGGAAAAACTACTCGCGTTGAGACTTTTAATAAGAGACAAGATCATCCAAATGACTTGAACTCCTTAACAGCCGAAATGGAAAATGATGTGAAGAAATATTAAGTAATATTTTACGTGCCCATCCCTAGACAAAACCCTTAATAAAAATAGATATGGTTTTACTATTGCCTTCATTCAACTTCATGACCACTAGAGGGCAGAATAGACAGTGCCCAATATACAGTAGAGAGTACTTGGTCTTTTTGATGTTTAGTTGGTTTCTAACTTTATATCAGTAGATTACTTCTTTTTTTACACTGCTCAACAGAAAACAACCTCGTCTCATTTAAAGGAATCAGAAGGACTCTCCTTTGAGACAAAGCTGGCCCTTTGTAAAATAGTATCATCAAATGTTGATGTAACTCAGTTACATCTTAATCAGAAAACAAACAACTTGGTTTTTGCTGGAGGAGTTGTATGCCAACCATAGATCAATCATTCATAGGAATGTAGCTTTTAAACTATTTGCTGGAATGTTTGGATGAGTGGTCTTCAGACATTATGCTTAGATTGTATTTATTAAACTGGACTATGTGTGAGCACATAAATCTAACAAAGTATTGCTTGTAAGACAAAAGTGAAGCTCTCACAATCAATCTGAATCCCCTCTAAACACATGGCTGACGATGTCTACAAATATTAAAAAGCGCATACACATTTATAAATGAGGCCTCTGGATTGGGGACTGACTTACTTCTTGCTGTTGGCCAGCTTGCGGTACTCGCTCACGGTCATAGACTTTTTCTGAATGTTGTATTGGGTGAACAGACCCGACTGTCCGGTCACCACCTGCATGATGGGAGCTGGAATGACCATGTCCTCGATGGTGTCGTAGGACCTCCGGGGCTTCCAGCCCTCCGGGGGAATCACCTGGTGAAGGAGACGGGTTGATAGCTAAATCTTTCAACTAGCCCTTCCAAATGTTATTGTACTTTATTTGGGCAGGACATTCAATCCATATTTAATTCAACTGCATTACCTTTGATACTCAGGTAATTATTTGACTGAAGATGTATTTGCGACAACCTAACTTAACATAAATTGCTAAACATTTGCCGATTTCAGATTCTAAAATGAAAAAAATAAACAAAAATAAATACATAATGAATAACAGTTTGGGTTATTTGGAACAAGATAAGGTTGTGTATGAACTGTAGCTGCTGATGGGACTCAAAATGTAATGTAATAATTAGACTTTACTGTCACAGGACTCCAAAGGACTACATCAAATATGTGAGTGCATGTGTAAAAGAGTACACGTGTGCTGTCTTCACCTTTGCCAGGCCAGCACGGTGAGCTCCTTGAGTCTCAATGTAGACGATGTATTTGGCGAAGTCTTTGAACTCCTCCACGGTGGGTCGGAAGGTCATTATCTTGCAGCTGGGGTTCTTAGCGCTGACTGGCAGCAGAGGGGCCGGGAGCAGCTCAGAACCCGGAACGAGGACCGGGGCGGCGTCCGGGTCTGTCGGAAGAGCCGGGTTGAGATCTGGAGCGGCATCGTGTTCTGAGGTCACCGCTCTGTCTGGGATTTCAGCTATTGCTGGCACCTCTGCGGTGATCTGGTCCTGGGCTGCACTAGAGCTGAGAGCAGGAGGGGAAGCTGGGGCGGTGTCGGGGGGCGAGGCTGGGGCAGGATGGGGAGCCAGCACCGTGTCCATGGGCATGTCGGTAGCCATTGGGTCTTTTAAGGGGTTGCAGGTAAACCTGGAGGGGAGAACATGGGCAATCAGGGCATATTCAGTCCATCCCAGCATATTCTAAACTGCAAGGAGTAGAGCGCAGGGTTGCTTTCATGAATTGAAATAATAATGAAAACACAACATTGGGTAGATTTTTAGGAGCTAACCAGGCTGACAAAGTGAAGGCCAGAATAAACAGTTAGTGTTGTTACAAGATAAATAAATCTGGATCCCAACAAACTACACCTGACCACATCCAGCACCACAGCTGGCAGTGTTTATTCTGTTGTGCTGCCCCAATATAATAAACATACAAGGGCCTGAAGTCCCCAAACATGTTAAACTTGTGAAGTGATGAAATTATGCAAATTTCTGAGCTGTGGGACTAAAAAAGGATTATCTTAAAAACAGAGACAAACTGATGTACTCTGTGGTTTACTGCTGCGTGACTGTAATGATTGTTTCAACGGATTTATTGTGTTAGGTATTTGTTTTGAATTAGCCGATAATAATTGAGTTTTGTATCTCTCTCATCCACTGAAACTCTCACTTTATCACTCTGTCTCACAGGACATTTAGAGCCGTAGTCCTAATACTGATACTACTGGCAACTAGTAAACAAACTTCCCGGAGGCTGGGGTTTGACAAACCTGTGACCGTAAGTACAGCAAACAACAAGAAATTAGGAAGTTAAATTTCATAGCCTGATGATCTGTTACCTAATCGAAATAAAATTATACATTTATTGGTTTTATATTATAGTTAACCGATTATCTTTGGGTTTTGGACTTTTGGTCTAACTACTAAAGCACTTGTTAACTTGTGACAGGAGTTTTCACTACCTTCTGACATTTTGTAGACTGAAAAATTCATTGTTAAAAAAAAAAGAAGAAGAAAGAAAAAAATAGTAAAACCGCAGGTATAGTTCTTAAAACTGTTCCAGAATTCCTGGAAAGGTTACTGCAGGTAAAATGGGCCAATAATTGTGCTTTAAAATACAAGACATCTGTCTAGAAGAGATCTAAATATAAAGGATTAATGATCTAGCAGAAACGCTGTCTGTATTTTGGATTGCAAGTAATACTAATTCAGACCTTTTCCATAATGAACACCAACTAAGCAAACTGTATTTTTTTTTTGTACTTAGACGTGTGCCATTTTAATAATTAAAACTCAAAAAACACTGCTCAGCTTTAGACTTTTTTCCTGAATCAACTTAAGATGAAAAATAAGAAATCTAACAAACCAGTTTGAAATACAGAATAAAAATGACTGCATACTTTGTAAGATTTGCGCTCAGGATGTGCATGTAGAAATAAGTATTTTATTTTCTTGATATAAATCAAAATGGGAAAATAATTCATTTATAATGATATGTTACAATGATTTAAACCTCATCAACCTGCTCTACATGTATGACAACCCTGGGCAGGCTTGATCCACCAAGTATCAATAATAGCGGAATCAGATATCAATGATGTTAAGTCCCCCTCTCCAAAAAAAACCAAAAACATGTTCTCAATACTGTTCCAAACTGCCACTCTTAGTGTTTCAATCCATCTGAAAATATAGATTGAAAAAGTAATTGAATAAACAAATATCGATTGACTGCAAGTTGCTTTCTCTGTGAGCAAGGCAAACGGAGACAATTCACCACGTACTTTGCATATTAAACACACAACCTGTGGAGCAGGAAACGTGCGCTTTAAATAACAGATAGACTTCAAGCAAACGTTCGATGTATTTTGTTGAACGGAATACATTACCGACTCCAACACAGTACGATTACTGTTTCCTGCTCAGTGACTGATAAATGTCTTCCTTAATAACTGGTAGTCATAAAACAAGAATTTACAACATATTATATTTCACTCGCCCCAACATGTTGTATCGTGTCACAAGCTTTCCCACCAGTACTAGACTAGACCCTGGCAGGCCACATGACCCCCAGCTGTCTAATCACAACAAAAAGGGCCTACACGGCCCCTTTAACTATATCTGGGCCTGGAACTTGTTTCAATATTGCAGCACACTGCCCTCCATACTCAGATGCAAATATTCATACACAGTGTCTGTTCAAATAATAGTTAATCCATATCTCTGACTCGTGGAGAGTATAACGCCGCTGCTCGATTTAAAATGAAGTTAGTGAAGGCTGCTGCTGCAGCTGAGGGCGACGATGGCTATGCACAACTAACATTACCTGTTAGCATTTTATCGAAGACAGCAAACAAACAAAAAACGTTGCTGGCACGCTTCAGAACGAGTAAAATGCGGAACTCACATTCACCTTCAATGCCGCGTTCTTAAATTGTACATATAGGCGAAATCAACAGTTAGAATCAGCCCCACTGCACCGTGTCCTGACGTTCATGTATGCTTAGCTAACGCTGGTTAGCCACAAGCTAGGTAAACTAGCTACTTCCATATCTGCAATTAGAAAAAACAAAACAACGCGACGACAGCCACCACACAACACAATTACACGAGAATACGCTCTTTGCGATTGTAAAAAAGGAATCCCGTTTGGGAAACATTACCTCCTGCAGCAAAGTTGTGTCCCGTACTTGTAATCAATCGATTTGGTTTCGTTTTGCAAAAATTCCCTGGATGGATTTTCCTCTAGCATTAGCTAGCAGAGGCTACTCGGAGTCACGCCCACCTCAGAAACTACGCCTCGAGATTGGTTGAATCACCCGGCTGATGGAACGCTTCTTCACAAACCCAACTATATGATTGGCCTATTTGGTTAATAGACACAGAAATCAACCAATGAAAATAGACGCTCGTTACTACACAGCCTCTGTGCGCGTAACCGACGTGCACGCCTCGGGTCTTTCTTGGCCGCAACGCTCGAGTGATTGATAATAATATCCACTGATTGATAATAATAGCCTCAGGGCAATTAAACACAAATATTATGATGCCTGAAGGTTTTGTCCAAAACAGTGTTCATCGTGCTCTATTGCTTGAAGATCCATATCCAGTTTCTCTAAATCTGTTTGAGTGACTTTCTACCTTTACAATAAGTATACAAATATAATTAAAATGTTTCATTGTAGGAAACTGGTATTTTTATCCTTGTCAGAGCAACAAAAAAAAAAAACAATCTATTCAAAGTCATGACTTCAGGATTAAAGAAACATTTTCATCAATTCAAAGTCCCCCCCCAAAAAACATTTGGTCATAAGTCATTTCAACTTTTTTTATTGAACACTGAAAATGTATTGACAATTTTTTGCACTATAAGTGTGCAAACAATTTTTAAACTACATATCAAAACTAAAAAATATGGACTACAAATTATACAATTTCAGAAAATATACATTTCCCAGTATATCCAAATATTTGTCTCTTCATCAAAACTCAAAGCGCTGGCAGACATTGTCACACACACGCGCGCACACACACACACACACACACACACACACACACACACACACACACAC